TCCGCGCGCGTCGACACTCACAAAGCTGTAGTCCGACGTTGGTCAACTCGCTCATCGGGTTTCTGTCGACCATCTTAAACATATACACGGTACACGGGGGTCAATGGTCTGCAACGTCGATAGCTACTATAACCGTCACCGGCTGGTGGCTGGTCGTATCTTGCGTTTTGTGCGGTGTCTACCAATATTTACTAGATGGACTACGTCGCAAGACGGAATGATGGCTTGAAGATGTTGTCGGGAGCTGGTCTTCCATACTTTCATTTTTCAGTTCATTCAAAAGTTGGTCTTACGTTCCTTCGGGCAAGAGCAGATGTACCGCCGTTAAGCATATGCATAGCCCTGTTTCTAGCTGTGCTCGATGTAAAATAACTCAGATGTCGAATACTAAGATGTTTATTGGCTTCGCCTGGAATACTGTACGTACAAGCGGATCCTTACATCTCTGTTACTCTTCTCTGCGGCACAACATTGGATTCTACCCAACTTGGCTCTGCCTACATCGAAACATTGCATTCCCCTGTGAAATGACATTGTACATACGAGTATCATGCTGAAAGCGCCTGTCTTTATGACAGTAGGCGATCGTCAAATGTGCGATGGCGTTTGAAACATCTGTCCATGCAGCCCACATGGCGGAGGGCAACGCTACAAGCTGCGTCGTGGAGCCAAACTAGCCGTCGACTGTGTGAAGCAACAACATCTCGTTCCAGAGCTCGACTCTTCCCGTGCACGTTGCATAACGCCAAAATCTGCTCTCCATGGGTATACTTATACACCATCAAACACTTGCGAAGATGCCAGATCGTTTGTAGAACACATCAAAGCAAGCGTGATGAAATCCAACAGAAAGACCCAGATCGCCATCTTTTCCAATGGTTACAACGCCTCAAGTGCCGCTGCGTCGGATCCTAGGGCCAGACCCGCGGCGCATACGGCAGCAGGAAAACATGACAGACACCTGCCAAAGCAGACCGAGAGCCAAAAAAAGGAGCGCGTTTTGGCCGCGGTCCCAGAGAGAGGTTTACCCAGCCCGAAACACGACAACATGTCGGATCGCCCATCACACGTCGAAAAGGGCTCACCCTGGAAGCACTATCAGGCCGAGTTCGAGCTCAACGATCTCGGGGGTACTCTGACAGTGGCGTCAAGACATCGAAAACTGTTCCACATCAGGGAACTGGTCCGCACGGAGTCAAAAGAAGTCCTGGAAAAGCTGAGAGTGCTTCGCCACCCAAATGTTGTCGAGTTCATCCAGG